TTGTATTAAAGAGCCGAATAACGAGTATCGGAACCAAGGAAAAAAATTTTTTGAAATTAATCCAATTCGGACCGCATTGTGTTTCTTTATGCCACAAATTATGGATATGTTTTCTATCCCTATCACGGACCCAAACGTCACCAGTTTTTATGTGAATATGTTTCGACAAAATGTAGAATACAGGCAAACTCAGAACGTTATCAGACACGACTTTATGAATCTGCTCATTCAACTCATGGAGAGAGGCTATGTTGACCCAGAAGACGAAAAAGAGGCCACCAATATATCGTGTTAATATACATATTTATTTATATATTTTTATCAATAGTTTTTTGTCTTGAAAATTTACATATTTTCTCGCAATATACTTTTATAAATTTAATAATATATGTGTATATACATACACACACACATATATATATATATATATATATATATATGTATATATATATATATAATTTTTTCTTAACTTATTGTTTCTATCTCAATCTATATACGATTATAATAATCAAGCTATCTTATATCATTAATTGTACTATTTACCCGCAGCAACCGTAAGCAAACTTACTATGACAGAAGCTGCTGCACAAAGTTTCATCTTTTTCATAGCTGGATTTGAAACGAGCTCGACGACAGCTACGTTTGCGCTATACGAATTAGCTCAACATCAAGATATACAAGATAAAGTTAGCAAAGAAATCGATGAAATATTAGCAAAACATGATGGTTTGACATACGATGCTGTGAATGAAATGACATATCTTCATAAAGTAATATATGGCAAGTAAACTATCACATATATTGTTTTCAGTTACTTAATGAAATTTTCAACAAAAAAATTAAGACTTTTCTTCTATTTTTCTATAATATTAATATTAATTCTTTAATATTAATTAATATTAATTCTTGTTATTTATAAGTTTGGAGGCCGATTTTGGCTCCCAAAGGTGTAAATAAAAACAATAATGATAATTTTATAAATTTTAATCTCCTAAAGTCGATAGAACTATAATATTAAAAAGTTCGTAGCGCTTGGGGAACACGCTTGAAAATTGAGCATTAATACAGCGTATTTAGTTAATATGCTGTGTTTATGCTCAATTTTTATAGGGCAAATGATATGATAATGTACACCAATCAAACAACAACTATTCGATAACTTATACAATTTATTCGTTATGATTAATCACTTGGAAATCTGGGTTATTGAAGATAATATAAAACTTCTGTCTTAAAAGCAAAATGTTTATATGTATATTTATTAAATTTGGCATTAAGAACATGTAAAATATGAATAATTTAAATTTATTTAATTTTTTTGTTAAATTTATTGAAAATACTAACACAGTCTGCATTACGGATTTGCTAAACACAAGCACGACTTCTATTTATTACAAAACAAACAACTGCGTACTAGCGTTCTTGTACGCAACCTTTTACAATTTTAATAATACTTTCTTTGGGATGGGTTATCAAATTTCACTATTTATCCGTTTAAAATATTTATATATTTCACGTTCACACTTAAATAATCGACTGCAGTACTGCGAAAGATTAAATTTGCCAAGGAAGAATTAAATAAATTGCTTGTATTTTGGAATACATGTACCTATATATGTTTTTTCTTTACATATTGTAGAGACTTTGAGAAAATATCCACCTGTCCCAATACTGAATCGCATTTGTACCAAAGACATAAGTTTACCGACAACGAACATTCACCTGCCAAAGGGGACATTAATAACTATACCGGTACTTGGACTACATCGAGATCCGTC